TTCATAAATATCGACGGAAGTTGAGACAGGACACGTAGTAATTCTGGGAGGACACGTAATTGACTGACTTAGGGAATAGGGCCTTAGACGAATGGATTTGGGCCCAGGCCCAGATATGAGAAAGGCCCCTTAATGATTGTGCCATAACGAAGGAAAATTAATAATTAAATCTATATCTATACTTATATAAAAAGAATTACTATTTACTAAATATAGCAAACAAAACAAATTTCAAAATTTCTAAATAAGGAAGGGATAGATGTTTAAATAAAATATGGTTGCTTTAATAAACTTAGAGAGAAGAGAGAAAAAAAAAAATCTTTAACTCAAATTCAATTGTTAACAATTTCCTAATAATTTTCATGCAAATCTCTAATTCAAATTAAAATATTAACAATTTCCTAATAACTTTCCTACAAAATTGTCCGCATAAATAATGATAGACATGAAATTTAGCAGTATTCAAAAGTTAAGGAGTAATGGTACGAGTTTTCATCATTTATTTTAGTAAAAAAAAGAAAAACATAAATGAATTTTATTAAAAAATGAACTTCATTTAATTAACTTGCACTAATTATAAATACCGTCCATGCAAACAGAAAAAAAAAAAATCAAAATTATATTTATACAATTAAAAAAAGAGTATGCTACAACATTGGATATTAATCCATACATCATAGGTACTCACTTAATAAATCTTCACCACATCATTTGTTGGAATCAAAAACTTAGTAATAGGAAAAAAAATAGGACTATGTTTACTTGAAAGACTATCAACACGTGTACAGATTTTTAAATTCATTTTCAAATTGAAACTTTAAATTCATACTCATATTGAATTGAATAATATAATTTAATTAGAACTGTAGGAGTTTCTTAGAAAAAAACTATCAAGCAATTTGCATTGATTTTCAAAAACTGGTAAATACTGATTTCTAAAATTATGGTGATTGTTTACTTGATATAGATTATGACCACGTGTACAGATTTTAAAACCATCATGAAATTCAAATTGGAATAATATGATTTAATTAAAACTGTAGAATTTGTTAAGAACAAAACTCTCTATGAGTTTGCATTGATTTTAGAAACAAATAAATACGGATTTCTTTTATAATGAAATTATTTATTCGTATTTCATCACAAATCCCAAAGATGTGTACTTTGTTGATACGTGTTTGAATAAAAATCTTAATAACAACGAGGTTTTAAAATAATTACATGAAATTGATAAATGAAGTGTATGCAGAAAGGAATTGTTAAGCATCAGTTTATTTTATACGTTTGAATAAAAATTTTAACAATGAGATTTTAAATTTATTATATAAAATTGACAAATGAAGCATATGCATAAAGCATGGAGTTATTTAGCTTCCGTTTATTTTATACTCAAATTGATGACGAAATAATTTTTGGTATCATCTCAATATTTATTTTATATATAATATGTAAATCTTCTCTCAATTTTAATATTTTAGACATAAACTTTTTTATGTTCTTTATACAAGATAATTTTATATTGTTACAATAGACTATATACCGTAAATTTTATCACATGTAACCCCACATATTTAATTTATAATTATAGTTAATATTGTTTATCCTCATCTTTAATGTATAAACATTATTAGTATTATTTACTCGTGCATAGCACGGGTTACACACTAGTATGTATAATAAGAATTAACATTTATAAAAAATAGTAAGTCAATCTTTGGTCAAAACTGATCAGCATTAATTACATGCTATTTATAGTATATTTTTAATATATTTTTTACTAAAAAAGGGACAACATTAAATGTTGTCCTTAAAATGAGCAGTTTGTTATTTTTTTATTTTAAAAAAAGTGGGCTGCGATTTAAATTTGGTCTAACGAATATTTGCGATGGTTTGACACGATGTATATATAAAAAACTGATAATGCACAGGCTGCATCAATTAAATTTGGTTATTGATTACAATAAGCTATTTTTAAATTTGAATAAAAATGTACGTCACGACTGCTAATTCAATTAAATATCGGCCAATTATATTCTCCAAATTTAAAACCAAATATTCTGCTAATACAATTGCTTTGCTTGACAGTTTTTTTTAATAAAAAAATTACGACTAATTTAGTAATAAAAAAATTTATATGTTATTTTTTTTAACCATAAAAATATGCTTTTGTATTTTCAAAATATCGGAAACTTTTTTTTCTATAAAATCGGCTAATACATATGTTTTGATTAGCAAATTTTATTTAAACAAAATTACGGCTAATTTAAGGGTAAAATTATAAAAAGAAAATTAAAAAAATTATTTGTTTATTTCTTTTGAAAACATTTTTTCTAACCATCAAATCCGACAGTTTCAATTAAAAGAATAAAGTTGCGGTTATTCAATTGTTTTGTTTGACAATTATTTATAAAGAAAAATAATACACGGGTCTAATTTTGAAACGATCAAATTTTTTATTGTCTTTGTTTAAATCAGAGATTTGAAATAAGAATAATCTCTATATTTAAATTGCTTTAACTGTAAAACGTGATGTATACAAGATTTAGATAGATTTATCACATATCATCCTCTAAATTAATGATTTTTTTTTTTAAATTTCAAAATACCAAATCAAATTTTTTATGGTCTTTGTTTAAATCAGAAATTCAAAATATCTTAATCTCTATATTTAAATTGCTTTAATTGTAAAACGTGACGTATACAAGATTTAGATAGATTTATCACATAACTCCCCTAAATTAATGATTTTATTTTTTTCTAGGTTTCAAAATACCAAATCCTAAAGTTGCGGCTGATTTAGTTATTAAACGATATTTTGCAATCATAGATTCGGGTTATCTTCAAATTCAAAATTTAAATTGCTGATATGTAGATCAATTTGGACAGATTAAATACGTATGATCTAAAAAGAAGGATTTTATTCCATTAAAAACAAAAAATATGAACTTAAGATGTAGATTTTATTTTGCACTTGTGATAATACAATATTACATGCTATGAAAGTCATATTGTTTACCCGTGCATCGCACGGGCTACGCACTAGTAGAAAGTATACACTGAAGGGAAGAGCTTCATTTGATGTAAATTGTGTTTTAATAGTAAACTTATTACAAAAATACTCGTAAATAAATTAGGGAAATTTTCACGCTTCCTATAAAAATTACAAAATATTATATTTTTACAAGTGGAACAATTTTAATTGTATCTATACTTAAAATCTAGGATTTTATTAGAGATATACCTCAAGTAATAAATAACCATACAAATAAATCTTCCACCCTTAATTGCCGCGTACAGTTACGAAAAGAATAAAATAACCATACAAATAAATCCTCCACCCTTAATTGCAGCGTACATTCCGTTACCAAACAACAACAAAAAAAAAAAATAAATAAATAAATAAATAAATAAATTGGTTCATATATGGAATAATTATATCTCAAAAAAAAAATTATGGTTCATGTATGGGAAAAAACATTCCGGTTCGTTCTTTTATTTTATATTTTTTGTTTTATCTTTGATTATTCATTAAATAGATTTTTCAGTTTTTTAACGGTATATATATCGTTTTTTTAATGGTATATATATCATTTTAATGGTATATATATCGTTTTTTTCAGCAGGACGCCGGGTCATATACTGTATATATCCTATAAATATACTGATCATAAACTAATATGTACAATGAAAATATACTTCGTTACCATCATCACCCTTCTCGGTCCGTATATATTGCGTTTATATTCAGTATATTTTCAGTATATGTTGTGCAAGACGAGCAATCAATAGACTACAAATAAAAACAAAGCAAATAACATTAATATGAATATCCAAAACAACACAAACAGTAATCAATCGAAAAAAATTCTCTTTTTCGTCTCATATCACAAATTAATTTGTACATAGCCTAATATACCAAATATAAACTAAGATGTACAATAATTGTAAATATCCCTAAGATGTACATATACTGCACATATACTGAACATATACTGTACATATACCAAACAAAAAAATGTTTTCCAGTATCCGATTCAAAACCCCGCACGCTTTCGCGAATTTCTTCTCTTTCCCAACCTTGAGCCACCGCTGGATCTTCGAAACCCTTTTGGGAAGAATATGCCTGCAAAAAAGGGCCTCGGAAAAATTGTCCATGGCGTTCGAGGAACCCAACCCGAAGGGAGGCCAGTCGAACCCGGTGGCCAGCAAACAAATGGCGTCCACCATGTATCTATTGAACACGGCCTGCAATGACAACCTGATTGTTCAGTGCCGCATGATCGAGGATCGTGGTCGCCGATGACAGAGGGATCGAAGTTGGGCTTGGGGATAAGATGGAGACGTGGACTGTGCGGTATTTTTTGCAGTGAGATAATGGTGGAAAATATGGAGATTGTGTAAATATGGTAGGGATATATCTTAATCTAAGTTAATGATCTAATCACAATTAAGAGCCCGAAATTTCCTTAAGTGACAATGCTAATATATCTGTAATATTTTTGCCTTCAAATAGCAATTTTATAAATAAATCTAATTGAGCTGTAAAAATGTTATATAAATAGTTTTGAATTGTAGAGGGTGCAAATTCCTCAATAAATTAACCATCAATAAATTCATTTTATTTCTCTTATACAAAAGTAATTAAAACATTTCCAGTTTAGACTAGTAAACCCAATTACTAGGCCTGACAATTTACGGACTGCTCTTGGCGCAATAATATTAAGGTAACCGGTTCCCCCTTCAATTTAAAGGCCTACACAATTTCTTATCGGGCCATACCAATTAAACGCTATTTTTTAATGGGCCAATTTAAGTGCAAAACCACTGTTCATTTTCCCTCTGTTGAGGTACAGCCCATTATAAAAGCCTCTCTCTACACACTGACCCACATTTTACATTGTACGCCCAATACAGTATGGGCCTGAAATTTTAAATATCGCACCTTGCCCGGTATAGACGTACTCGGAGATGTTTCTGGTCTTATCTTCTCCCACTTCCGGTTATCCGACCTCCGCCATCGCCTCATCGTGCGCCGCCGCCGTGTACCGTCGAGCAGCGGCATCTTTGCGCTCATCAAGGAGTCTAGCCTCAGCTGTCGCTCTCCGTCTCGAGGAGCAACCTTTTGTTCCGGAGGTACAACACGTCACTGCACCACTCTCACACTTGCTTCTGTTCATCAGTCGATTGCTTGACTAGCAGTTTTTTTTTCTTTCATTTTTGAACATGTTTTTGAGATTGCGCAGGTTGAGAACGCGGTGGACTCGCTGTATTCGGAGTTCCGAGCTGTGGATAATTTGGTGGCCCGCAACTCTAGGCGCGTGCTTAAAGCTTTTCAGAATGCTCGTGTTGGGTCTCATGTAAGCTTTGATTTCCATGGAAATGTCAGCTTCGTTATGGTTGTCCTTTTGATTGGATTGATTTTGCTGATTGTGTTGATTTGCTTTGATTGTCGGTATTTTGTTTTCACTGTTTTCAGAAGATTATGTTCATACTTCATAATGTGTAATAGCGCTTTAGAGCTCGAATGAACTTAATTGGTGATGCTTACGATTAGCTCGTCTGGAGGAATGGCATCAATTTCGACATTGATCGATTCACTATTGAGTTGCTTATTAAAAACCGGTCTATTATCACTGCACGATTCACTTGATTACTGTAGAACATAACAAGCCTTGTCTAACATAAGCATTGTGTTCTTGCATGGCACCGAGGTTAATTAGCTTCATTCTCGAGCTTATTACATGGTGCATTTTTTGATTAAGCATGTGATGTATGTATGGGCATCAGCACTTTGGTGGCAGCACAGGCTATGGTCATGAAGAAGCTGGCGGGCGTGAGGCACTGGATCAAGCCTTTGCAGAAATTTTCGGTGCTGAATCTGCAATTGTTCGAGCACAGGTTTCCTATTATCTGGTTTTGTTTCTTTGTTAGTTTGGATTAATTTACTCTTAACCAAATCCTTTTTCTTTTATCTATTGCCAGTTTTTCTCGGGGACTCATGCTATCACGTGTGCTTTGTTTGCTTTCCTGAGGCCAGCAGATGAGGTAAGTGTTATTTTTCACTCTTCTAGTCCTTGATTGAGGAATATTTCTGTGCATTTCTGTTCTATGCTAGACTTATTATTTGTCAGCTTCTGGCAGTTGCTGGAGCTCCTTATGATACTTTGGAGGAGGTCATTGGAATTAGGGACTCTGGCAATATAGGTTCTTTGCGAGATTTTGGTATAAATTATAGAGAAGTTCCAGTATGTTTGCTATTGATTTACATTTTTTTTTTGGATTGTCTATACGTTGAGATTTGATGTTCCTTTGCCAGTCGTTTAATCTTCTGATAAATGTTTTTCAGCTTTCTGAGGATGGAGGTCTCGACTGGGATGCCCTCAGGATAGCTTTGAAGCCACAAACAAAATGTGCACTTATTCAGAGGTCATGTGGCTATTCATGGAGGCGAAGCCTGAGTGTAAATGAAATTGAGAAGGCGATAAAGATAATCAAGGTTACTTCTGAAAACCGATTCTCTTTTAGGTATTGGTTGATTAGTTTTTGGAGTTATTGAACCTTTGTTCATCTATGAAGTGATGCAAAGGTTCTGGCTTCTTTATATGTGAAAGATTTATCAAACTTTGTTTGGGCCTGAAAGTTTTCGCAATTTATTTTATTTATTATATTCATTTCTTTCTCATTCATACAAGGATTTTAATTGCCCTTGTAGTCTTACTGTGAACGTGTGCATACAGTTGCAGAATCCCAATTGTTTGGTCATGGTGGATAACTGTTATGGTGAATTCACAGAGATAATTGAACCTCCAATGGTGGTATGTAGCAAATCTTCTCACTTTTGAGTTTTCTCCATCATAAAATGTCCCGAACCAAAGTTCAGCTTGTTACCTTTTTCTGGCTAGCAGGGAGCTGACCTAGTAGCTGGAAGTTTTATTAAAAATCCGGGTGGAACAATCGCACCATGCGGTGGATACGTTGCTGGAAGTAGAAAATGGGTGGCAGCAGCAGCTGCTCGTCTCTCGGCACCAGGCCTCGGAATTGACTGTGGTTCAACTCCGGGTGATATCATGCGAATATTTTTTCAAGGTTTATTCCTTGCTCCACAAATGGTTGGGGAGGCAATAAAGGTAAAACCACCTACCTCGTTTTTATTTTCCCTTATTTGTTGGTTTTTATATTTATATTTTCATCTATTTTTTTTACTATTATTATCTACATCGTGTAACGTGACTTGAGCTATTTAACAGGGAAGCCTTCTGATTGCTGAAGTCATGGCAGGGCGAGGGTACAAGGTCCAACCAGGTTGCAGGGTTCCTCGCCATGATATAGTACAGGTTTACCGAGTAAAAATGAAAATCAACGTATTGAGTGCAATTATTGTTTATAGATAATTAGATAAGCTGCCGCAAACATATAATAAAAAAGAAAAAAGAATACACTCAATTTCCTATCGTAATTACAAACAGTTTTGAGGTTATACAAAATCACCCCTTGAATTCTGTAAATTTATCAATAAATATCCATCCACGAGAGGTGAATTTATGAAATACAGAAACAGAAACAAATATCAAGGGAAGCTTTGTTGTTATCCTGAAGTGAAAGGACCTTTCTGTGATTAGTAAATGAGCTTTAGTTGAAGTTCGAATTGACCTATATGAGTGCTTTAACCTGCTTTTAGGCAGTACAACTTGGAAGTCGTGAACGCTTGCTTGCTTTCTGTGAGGCTGTGCAGAAAAATTCGCCTGTTAGTTCTTTTACAAAGCCCATAGCCGGTGCAACTCCTGGCTATGCATCTGAGGTACTGTTTAGCTGATTCCAAATTATTGGCCTCGACTGAACAATAATACTCTTATCTCACTCTTTTCCAGATAATTATATTACTTAGCTATTTGTAAAATTAATTTTCACTTGTTTGGTGAAAAATAAAAATAAAAATTTAATGCACTACCATTTACATTGATATCTTTTCTTATTTGAGCACGAATTCGATGGAACTACCTGTCATAGGTGATATTTGCTGATGGGACTTTTATTGATGGAAGCACAAGTGAACTTTCATGTGACGGGCCTCTGAGAGAACCATTTGCTGTTTATTGTCAGGTGCCGACTATTTTTTCCTAAGCAGACTAGTTATGAATGGATTTTTTTCTAGTGAAAATGTACAAACGTATCTGACATATGCATATCGGTGAATCATGTGAAAACCCTTAGATTTGTATTCACTAGCTTAGTGCATCATGTTATTGATGACTACATATTTTTTTTATTATTTGTGGATTTCCATGAACAGGGTGGCAGCCATTGGACTCAATGGGGACTTGTTCTAGGGGAGGTTCTAAAAGTTTTGTAGAGTATATCTCAAACAACAATTATTGTCAGGTGCCAGGCGCCAGTCGACTGATCAAAACACTTCTTTGCCTGAGTTTGAGCATCGATTTGATAAATGTCGGAATGCACTTTTATGAACTTAAGCGGATTTGCTCTATAGATTCGCTACAAATGTTCGAAAATTTGTAGCTTCAATGTGCATGAGAAGTCGTCGTTTTTTAATTTTAATCTTTTTGATGCAGTGACCAGCTATAAAATTCATGTTGTTTGTTTTTGTTCAATGGANGAAAAAAAAAAAAAAAAAAAAAAATCTTCGTACAGGATTTAGACTCTAAGCTATGCAGAACATTCAAACTTTTCTAACCAACCCCATGGCTAAATATGTGCACTCAAGCTTGAAAACAAGGACGGTAGTCCTTTGGAAATTGGTAATGTTCATATTCAATTATTTTGTTAAAAAATTGATATAAAGCGTCCTCATTGCCCCCGAGTGAATTTTAGGCACTAACCACAAACAAGACCTTTTATTTGGTAAAGTACAGAAATTTGTAACCAAACAAACTAAAAATGACATCAAACAAGGTTTACACAAGTTTGACCCTTACAAAAAGGGTTCATTTGCAGCTACGATCATAAAAAACCTGCATCTCAAACTGAATCAGTATTAAATCGTGATTCCTACCAGAGACATTATTACAGATTCCTCGGCAAATCCCCTAATNAAAGGTTCTCGTGATATATACATCGAGGCTTTAGAATGACTTAATGATTGTGCACCAGTTTTTGTACCTCATCCTTCTTCTCCTTCTTTCCACGGGTGAAGAACTTGTAACTTCCGAAAATGAGCAAACCCCAGCCGGTCAGGGACGCAATCACAAACTACCAAAAAAAAAAAAAAAATGACTTTGTGAATCATGATAACTAAAAAGCTTTAAAGTGAAAGGTCAAAACGTTCCGTGCTAGTCACTTGCATCTGTCTGAACTGAATGATGACTTCCGCTTTTCTTACTTTGGTCTAGAGTTATGATTTATATTCCGGGCGTTGTTTCAGTCTGAGGTGCCACGAGTCATATACATGCACGCTAAATTGATAAACTAGTGAAAAGCTTTCTTCGAGTATGAAAAACTTATTTACGAAACGCACAAAGAGTGGAAAAAATCACTAGCACTCACACGAGAAGCTATCAAATCTTCTGAAAACTTCTCAGTAATGCAAAATCTGTGTAATCTGATTACTGCCAAGTGCCAATTAGTATTTTAAGATACCGCCAAGAGAGGAAAATCTCAAACTAGAACTTCCATTTCTTTCTCACGTGTTTGGAAAACATATAAAGCTCAACCTTTTGACTAAAGTATTGCACTCAAGAAAAAGGATTTTAATGCTAAAACATGATCAATCGGCCACTACTTCCTAAGGGATTGTTTGCAAACTCTAAAAGAAAGTCACCATCAGATTCTAATCGGACAATGAATAATAGGTTCTAATCGTCCCATCCACATCAAAGTCCAATGGAGATGTCAAATTATGTTAACCTAAGCGTGAATCCTTCCCAAATTCAACGTTGAAGAATGTAAATATCTTACTATTACTCAACTACTAATTCGATAGTAGACACTTTGACCTCCAACAACTATGGGAAAATAAGGTACCAACAATCGTTAGACAATCATACTCTTTCATGATTTCTTCAGATATGCATACTTTAAAAAACAACATAAACAAAAGTATAACATTTCATAGCTTAAGGCGATGTTGGTAAACCTAGCTGATAAGTTACCTTATAACTTTAAATGAATTTCGAGTTGATAGCTTATGACTTATTGTTAAAAAACTAGCTTATATGATATAAGTGTTTATATAAAAATTTCAATAGACTTATTTGAAAAGCTACTCAAGAAAAGAAAGTTAATGAGATAAGCTCAAAAAGCTCGTCCTACTAAACAAAGCTTATTTGAATATAAAAAGCTTATAAGATAATAAACTAAGCTAGCTTAAATGTTTACCAAACACAGCCTAAATATGCATTTTGTTAAAAAAATCGACCTAGCCTCACACAAGAATTTGTGTTGTGTCAATGGTCCTCCGGCCATATTGGCCGCTTCCATGCAATTAAACAATTTATCAAGCACTTTAGCTAGTCCATTTGTTATACGACTTATTCAAATAAAACATTTAGCCGTTTCCATACAATCAAAACAATTTATCAAGCACTGTAGCTAGTCCATTTGTTATACGACTTATTCAAATAAAAAACACGATAAATTAACATCAAACCAACAAATCCAAATGGAAATTACTCAAGTAATTAGGGGAAAAACAAAACCTAGACATTGAAGCCCTAAAGCAAAACAAAATCGAGGAAAAAAAACAAATGAAATAAGGAAACTCACGTGCTCTTCCTTCCACTTTGACGGGCTCAATGGATCTTCCCAGATATTTACTTTTGGGGGGCCGTGGTGATCTATACACAAAATTAAAAGAAACAAACACAAACACACTGATTTTTATAAAAAAACAATAATCAAATACAGAAATCGAATTGGTAACAAAATATGGACAAATAAAGTTCAGCTCAATCGATGAAATGAGAGCGGAGAACGGTAAAGCTCACCACCGCCGCCGGCGAGCCCACGGCGCTGGACTAGAGCCGAGGCCTGAGCTGAAGAAGCCGCTGATCTAGGAGCCGATAGCCGAACTAGGGTTGCGGCACCGCGAGCGGCCGCCGTTCTCGCCGCCATTCTTTTTCCAAAGGGATCTCTGTGAAGGTCGAAAAATGGAGAGTGTTGCAGATGGTACGAGAGAAATGTGGGAGTGTGTTGGAACTTATAAAGGTCTTTAGAATTTACAGATGGCCCCCAAAAACTTTTCGAAAATAGTAATTTCCACCCCAATATTTTCTAACTGAGCAATTGACAAGGTTCAAGTTTGGACTAGGGGCGAGTTCGAATGTCGGCAAAACTCGAAACAAACATGACTTTTGCGTTACGGCTCGAATGAAAGCACCCACAATGCTTTTGGTCTCTTTTTGCATATGTGACAAATAAATAAACTTAAGTTTATAATGACATAGACAAACTCAAGCTAAATAGTCCAAAATTTATCAACGTATTAGGTTTAAAATACCTAACAACCAATAAAAATATAATAATAGTAAATGATTGCTATTGTAAGGTTCATACTTGGTTCCAAAATAGACCCAAGAATGGACTTGGTCTCTTTTTTTTTTATTGCCACATAAGCTAGACTAAGTCCAATGGACTTGGTCTTTTTTTTTTTTATTGCCACATAAGCTAGACTAAGTCCATTTTTAATTGTATTGTGAAAGACATTTTTATACACTAGATCTATTTCCTACCTGACATGTGATCTATATATATATAATAAGAATTATTATTTACCAAAAATAGTAAGCAAAAAAATCTGGCAACATTAATTGCATACCATTTCGGGCAAGTTTTGTTTTTATTTTTTATTTATTAAATGAGAAACATTTAAATATGCCTTCAATCACGGATACTTAGTTTTGGTAACCAAATTGCTCAATTTTGGTACAAATAATACTTTTAAAAATTTGAGTTTTATTTTAATACCAGTCCTTTTTAAAATTAATTGATATCAACATTCATTAATTTAGGCAAAAAAAAAATTGCAAGTTCATAACCCATAATAATTGTGTGCAATTCATCAAAATTAATGATATCACATAATTAATTGTTAGATATGTATGTTTTCAGCCGAGTTGAGTTTTAAAAAAAAAATCATTTGGACGCCAAAAAATTTTGTGTAACAAAAAAATTTTGCCGATCAAAAAAATAACAAATCTACCGACACACACTCAAATTTTAAGAGTTCTTTTGACTAATCGTAAGTACCCAAAAAAACCGAACATAAAAGTACAAAAATCGAACATAAAAATCTTATAATTAAAAATTCCACACTTCTTTTTTGGGCAAAACAACAAAAATTAACAAAATCTACCGACGCACACTCAAATTCGAAGGATTCTTTTGATTAACTGTAAAAACCAAAAAATTCGAACCTAAAACTACAAAAATCGAAAATAAAAACCCTCAAATATTTGAAAAATTCATATTTTGTTTCGTGCAAAACACCTAAAATTAATTTAAAGCATAGATTAAATGAAAACTAAAAAAGAATATGTATTTATAAGACCCTCAGTATTAGAACGGAAAAGTTAGAAGAAGATCGATGAAAAAAGACGAAAGAAGAAACTGAAAGCGGCGAAAAATGAAGGAAGAAATGAAGTCCTTAGTCCGATAATTTCACTATTTATATTATGTTCAGTGTAATCTAAACTGTCGATTTGTGTTGACTAATCTGGATCGTTGAATTATTTTTTCTGTTTTGTTTGGACCGATATGAACTTTCGAAACCAACATTATAAATTGGGCCGATTTGAACTTTTTGAAGCCCACATTTTTCAAAAATATTCATATTTTACAAGTCCAACATGATTAATATAAATAATTACACGTATTTTATAATAAATATTTATTAGGTTTAATTATAATTGATGATCGATGCTTTACTATATAATTTGAATTTAAATACAAAATTGCCTTTTAAAAAGAACGGAAATAATAAAGCCATGTGCATCACACGAATAATGTACTAATTTTTTTTTAAAGAGACCAAAGACATTATGGGTGCTTAGTTTTAGTATTTTGTGAAAACTGTGGAGGTTTGAAAACTTTTTCCCCAAATTTATGACCGGATAGAGATGGACCACCGCAGTTATCTGACGTGCATATGCCACGTGTTTCCAATTCGAAAAATTACTATGCCAGCCTGGCAACCTAACCAAAACATCACCTCAAAATGTTTACAATTCACCCCTGCATTAAACATCAAATCCCCATTTACCCCTACCACTATAAAACGGGCAACCACACTTTACCGTTACAGCATTTCTGCCTTTTGCTTTCCCCCAATTCATTCTCTTAAAAAAATCCCTTTCACTTCAAAATCCACCGGAAATTACACCATCCGATTAGGGCAACAAAAACGCCGATGAAATATCAATCGTCGACCAACTTCATGTCGTCCCTCAGAGCCGTTCTAATTTCCACCGGCGTTTTATCAGCGGCGATTGTGCTGAAAGTCTCGGCTCCGGCCATCACAGATCTCGCCGGATGTCTGCCGTCGGTCTACAACAGCTTCATTTCGTGGCTGAGGCCTCCGTACCTGTACCTTGTCGTCAATTTCATCATCATCGCCATCTTAGCCTCCTCCAAGCTCCAGTCCGAGAAGTACGACGAAGAGATGCCGTCTCCCGCCGCGAGCTTCGCCGTACGGAGGCAGCTGGCGGAGGAGGAAATTGCTCCGGCGGAATATCCTACTTCGGAGTACGGGTACGACGGCATCTCACTCAGCGGTCCCGAGGTGGAGCAGGGGAAAGGATCGGAGCTCGACTCGTCCAAGCGTGCAGATGCGAATGAAGTAATTACGCCGTTTGTGAGAGATGTGACGAGCAATAAAGAGAACGAGTTCGTGATTGGTAAGTCCACAAGCAACGGAGGCTCGGCTGAAAATTCTCCGGCGAGGGTGAGGCCGACTGTTTCTGGGAGATTCGGTCACCGGAGAAATGTGAAAGCCAGTCCTGAAGGTAAATTAACTTTTTATCTTGTTTGATTAGATTTTAATTGATTAGCATAATGTTTAGCCGCTGGGGAAAATAAATTAATAAATAATGGCGTAAATTTGACCGTTGGAACTTTACTCCCATAGATGAGCGTGCTGTGTAGACTGTGGAGTAACATATTAGCTTTTGCGTGACTGACGCTGACCACCTACTGGCCAGCTCATATTGAATGCCCAAAATGCCCTTGGGGTTTGAACTTGAAGTATGTTAAAAAGTGTAGGCCCCATTAATGTTCCCTTGCTCTTATTAGTATCAGCGATAAACGAGCCTAACTAGAGCCTTTAGTCGCTCGAGTTATCTAAATGAGTAAATGAGTCTATAAACGAGCTGAACTCAGCTCGAACTTTAACGAGAGTTTTAGCAAGTTATAGTAGAATTACATAACCAATAGTTTTTTGCAGACATTTTGTTCTGATTTTTCAATCCCTCGTCTTATATTATTTTGGAGAGAGGTAAGCAGTGCAATTTTGAATATAGTCAATTATTTTGTTGGTCTAACTAGCAAGATTATTAGTTATTCTATTTTATTTTCTGTGTTTTTGGACTACACAGAACAACACATGAATGATATAACCTCAATAGGAGGACTTTGAATTTCCTTCCGTGACAACTCAAACTTATGTTTGTAGTAATTTTTCGAGATTCTGTTCATAATTTTCCGGTGGAATATCGTAATTAATTTTCTCATCATCAGACGTGAGAACTGTGCTGGGAGTAACGAGAACCATGATGAAATCCGACACCTGGGCACCAAACAACAGGCCTCGCCAGCTGGCGGAGAAGACTCTGCCACCAAAGATGATGAAGAAAGCTGAGACCTTCAACGACCGGACAAATACACGGAGCCCAAGCCCGTCAACCGGTGGGCCCGGAAAGCTCCGGCAGGAGGCTTCGCTGAGCCAGGATGAGCTGAACCGGCGAATCGAGGCTTTTATCAAGAAGTTCAATGAGGAGATGAGGCTGCAGAGGTAGGATTCGAGTCGCTCAACCGCAGTTCTATGGATGATGATCGATCAATTATGTTGATGCAAAAAAAAGAAAAAAAATATGTACCCAAAGTTTTGAGGCAAATGGATATGGTTTTTATTTATGTAAGGAGACGAGAAGCTTGATATATGGGTACAACATAGAGAAGTTTTTTATTTTTCAGAGTCAAAGCTCTGCTCGAGCTTTATTAATTTGTGTAAGACTTTCTCTAACCGTATGTTAAAACCAATCGCAAACCCAAAAAAAAATCCTCCAACCGAACTACATAACCCAACCCAAAATGCGTTGTGCCCCCAATTTCTCTCTCTTCAAAAGCAATTTTGCGTTTCCCTGTTCACAAACGCAAAACCTTTATAATATTACTTTTTAGTCTTTTGCTTTATCATTTTTACTTTTACTTATTATATTTAATAATATAATTTATATTTATATAATGTTTTTAATATCATTTAACATATCTTATTGTTTTAATAAGGAAACGATTTATTTATAAGATTTTTAATCAATATATAATTCAATCCAATATAATTTAATAAATTATATATATATATGGTATATATCTCTTCTAAAAAATTAATCCAAAAATTATGAAAATATTATATTTTCATATATCCGTAAAAATTTAGAAACAATTTATCAATATTTTAATAAAATATTGGTAATAAATAGAAACAATGTGATTTTTCTATAATTTTTTTCATTCAAATTTAAAATAATGGTATGGTGTTATTTGAAAAGTTTGTAAAATATGTGTAATTTTTACTTATTTAATAAACATTATTTCATAATTTTTCCTTTATAATTTATTTTAGTACATGAATTTCAAATCGAATTTAAATAATAGTGTTATTTTATTGAAAAATTGTAAAAGTTGATGTAAAAGAGAATATTTTGAGAATATTTTTTTAGGTTTGAGAATGAGTTTTTGGTTGGAGATGGATTATTGTTTGATGTGACAGTTACTGCAAAATGAATTTGAAAATGAGTTTTTCGGTTGGAGATGAATTACTGTTTGATGTGACAGTTACTGCAAAATAAGTTTGAGAATGAATTTTCGGAGATGGCTGAAAAAACAATTAAATTGTAATGAGGAGCTAAAGCTAAAAAGATCAAAATTTGCGGTGAGCGTGGATCGAACACGCGACCTTCAGATCTTCAGTCTGACGCTCTCCCAACTGAGCTATCCCCGCAAGTTGTTTAAAATTAATCTCAATATTTTAATGATCGAAACACAGCGAAGACATCATAAAGGAAAATGGTTGGTTTTTCAAGATCGTGACACTGTAAGGTCTGCAACAGCCACACCCCAATTCTTTCATGACCGAATGCCAATTCTCGAGTTTCATTTTTTTTCATTACTGATTCTTGATTTTATTAGGGCTCCCCAAAAAACTACCTGCTGGAAAGAGAAAAAAGGGATTGAGCAAAAATGGGTTTAGCAAACAACAGCAAGAAAGGGGTCGAAAATCTCCCGATAAAAAGAAGGGAGCCCGTCAAACACCGCGAGTTGGTAATTTTTTTTACCGTCTTCAGTATTACATATCGATTTATTTTATGGGCTTCTATTTGTGTTGTTCGATCGGTAGTTTATCTGTTGATTTATGTGTTTTTTGTTTGTTATAAAAAAGCAATCTTTGTCGCGCCCGGATTTAGGTTTTTGTAAATGGCTAGGTTTTGTTTGAGTTTATGTTGCTGTCGTTTTCACTTAGACGCGCTTGCTTGTGGTGGGTTTTCTTTGAATAGGCTTTTTGTTGTTTTGAATTATCTCAGACAATAGAGAATCGATTGGAAGCACTTGAGACAAGAGTAGACACATTGGTGGAACAATTGACACAGTTGAACGTGAACTTCGAGAATTTTCGGGCCGAAACTCGTGGGAGGTTCGAGAGGATCGAGCAAGCCCAGGCCCAAATAATCGAGATGATGGGACGACTTGGGCCGGGCCGCTAGTGATATATAGCCTGTGAGTGATTGTCAGTGCTTTCTTTTGTCGAATGAATGGCAGAATAGTATTTAGGAATTTGCTATGCATTAGGTGTTTTCGGTTGTAGTTGAATTCTACTTTTGAATGTTTGTTTTTGCCCTGTTCTAGGAATTGTGCAAGAAAATTGACATGAAATCAATGGGTTTTCTGATGATGAAATGAGCTTTTGAAATTCCATGAATAGTACAACTCTTGAATTTTCTATGTAGCCCTTTTACTTCTCTTACATCCTAATCATTGTTGGTTGCTACATTACTAGTAAACCACTTTTACTTTCGATGTTTTTGTTTAACGGTTGATATTTACTGATAAAAAAAAAGGTTTGTTGAATGGCGTAGCATGTACGTGGCAACACTTGTTGTGTACTGTTGATAACGGGTTATTGCCTTTGTCCGTTTGTATGAAGGAAACATTGAAGATGTAGAAACAGAGAAAACTCACTAGTCTGTCAGCCAACTAAAAACAAAAGAAAAGCCTTAAGTTCCAGTAATTGGGAAGTGTTTTTGTCACTTTTATTATCTTTTATGAGCTCCAAAGTCCAAATAGTTTCAGATTTAGTTGATGCTTAGTTTGCGATTCAAACGAGACCGAAGGAGTTGGTGGTTTGGTATGTGATCATCTTGTTGTCCCGAGTAGGGTTTTTGGTAAGATGGAAGGTGAAGAAAGTTTAATCGGAGAACCAATTCTGAGCTTTTGAAAACAAGATTGAGGTTTGAGTTGAAACATTTTGGTTTTTTTTTTTGTTTTTNTAAACTCTACAATTTTTTTTTTTTTTTTCACATGTTTAAAATGAAATCGGTACACGTCTGGCAACTGCAATCTTCAAACCGACACATATCGCAACCTACACACACACACTGCTCACAGCCTCTGCACCTCGAAGCCCTCTGACAGCCTCGAACCACCGACCGACAGTCTCGTTCTTCAGCTTCGTTGCAGCTCAACCTATCAAAAAAATTTCATTAAAAATCCCCATTAAGAATGAATTTCATCTTATTACATTAGCTAATCGATCTTTTTCTTTTATTTTCTCTTTTTCGAACTTACGCCTGGTTTGGCATGTCCAAACATTTCCAATTAGTGTTGAGAAGAGCATCGTGATAGGCTCTGCAAGCCTCCTTGTCTCGGAGGCTAAACCTTCGTTGTTTGTTGCAAATCGAGCAAATTTTGAATTCGTCTCGATGGATGACTTGGCGCATAGGTCTGTGAAAAGCCTCTGTGTGGTGTTTGAGCAAACACGTCCTTCGAAGGGCGATTTTGACGCCATCGTGGCCGAACACCCAAATCTGTGTCTTCCAGTTGGTGTGCGCGTTCGTTCGACCGGCATGCCTTGCAAATTCGGCTGGGGATAAGTTAACTGCAACGTAAGGAGACAATAAAAACGAAAAAAAAAAAAATGGCGTGCAAAATTAGCGTTGATGGGATTGTAAGAGCATCCATAATGCTTTGAGTCGGCTGGGAATAAGTTAACTGCAAAACGTCGATTTCGTAAGGATTCATTCAATCGTGCAAATTGGCGTTGATGGGATTTAAAAATTTGCGCGATTTTAGTACGATGGCTTTTGTTTGGTTGCACTCTCGTCTCGTCGAATAATCTTTTTGGATTTTTTTTGTTTTTGTTTTTGGTACGATTAACTTTTTGATTTGGTGTCGGTTTATACAACAGAGGATGATGGATGAAAGTTCAAAATGGTTGCTTTCGAACACAAAACTCGAACATAAATGGGAGGATTTTGTAGATCGAGAGATGAAGAACAAAAGAAAATGTCGTCAAACGAATTTTGGACAAGGGGTTATTGGACGAAGTCGAACAAAATTAAAAGTTATTGTACCAAATCGCAACCTTAAAAAAGTTACTCAAAGCAAACAACAATTATTTTTATTTTATATGAAAAGTCATTTTATGAACTAAACAAAGAATGTTTTTTTAGTGCAGAAATTGTTTTGTTTCATTATTACACAATCTCAAAAAGCAAAAAACTTATTTTAATTTGTATCATGAATTTGGATTACTTATGTTTAAATTGTACCTTCAGAACAATCATCCCTGCAAATGCAATCAACCTCGATTTTTCCATTAACATATACTCGAAGCTTTCCTGGCGTGTCGCCATATCTGGGATTTGTGCAGCCACAGTCCATCTCTACAAACTCCCCTGTCTGCTGCAACACTCCATAAAAGCTGGACATTTCTTGTTGAGTGAACATATTTGCTTCTTTGTTTATTTGTTAAAAAAATAAAATGTCTGCAAATTATTGTATTTACTTTTATTAATTAAGATCAATGGAAATTAGCAACAGGGACATTTGTTAATTGTTGCATGCGCATCATAATATAGTAAAATCTATGCGCAGTTAATTTAATATTTCATTTTTAACCATATGAAGATGACTCTTTAATGTTCCCCGTCAATGGCTATATGCGTACTAGATTGTTGAGTAGAATTTCTTAAATAAAATAACATAAAAGATTGGAAATTTACATATCTCTATGTCTTTTGTGATTACTTTCACAAAAGATGAGAAGACCAAGAAAAAACTAACCTTAGAATTGCAGGCTCAGAGTTTATGAGAATGTAGAATGAGTATGATTGGTGTTGAGCCCTCTTCTTATAGCGGTTGGACGTAATTAAATTCATCACATTCGTCATCTGATTTTAGAAATGTTGAATAATTACACACGTCTAATTCTATATCTTATTTAAATTCATTGCATTCGCCATTTGATTTTAGAAATTTTGGATAAATACCCACGTTCAGTTCCGTATCTTATGTAAAAAAATAATTAAGATATTTTTCCACGTTACATATTAACTGTCAAAGTTATAAACATCTTCTTGCAAGATACATATCAAAAGTGTAAATTATAGTTTTGATAGCTAGAATCGAGCTTTATTTTGTAAAATATGTATAAATTATACTCGAATAACTAAATTAGAATTAAATTTTGAAGTGCGTCCTCAAATACGCGCTTTCAACACTGTTGCATACAAAATAAGTAAATAAAATCACTTCAATTACATAGTATAAATTGTAAAAGATAGATAATAAATGAATACCTTCACTATATCACCTCACCATTTTCGCACAAATGCCATAGGCACAGTATTGCAACATATTACATTTATTCTCCTAATCTCAATGTATATAGATAAGGAAACAACTTTAATAATAATAATAATTATTATTATTATAATAATAATAATAATAATACTAAGAAAAAGATGGAATAATTACATATTACCTATCTTATGATGATTTTGTGATACCACCAAAGAAGAAAGAACTCAGCTTTGCAGACTCTGAGTTTATGTGAATGAAGAACGAGTTTGACCGGTACAATACTCTCCATTTATAGCGGTTGGACGCAATTAAATTCATTACATTCGTTGTTTGATTTTATAAATTTTGAATAATTGCACACGTTCAATTCTATATCTTATTTAAGTTCACTACTTTCGCAATTTGATTTTAGAAATTTTGAGCAATTACACAGCTATTCAATTCTAGATCATATATAAGTTCACTACAATATTCGTCATTTGATTTTAGAAATTTTGAATAATTACATATGCTCAATTTATATCTTATGCAAAAAAATAAAGATACTTTTCCATATTACATATTAACGGTCAAATATATATATAAATGAATAGTTTGTTCGAGAACATGATATCAACATAAGAATAAGTTTGTGAATTGTGGAAAGAAAAAACTATTAAAGGCTTCCAATAACAAAAATCTTGTTGATTATGTGTAATTAATACTGTTAGAATATATAACTTGTGAGTCGTCCCACATCTTCATACATGAAAAATAAACCCATTTTATAAGTCTAATAGATTACTCCTCTTTTCACCAATTGATTTCGAGATGGAACCCTACTTGGCTTCATATGGGCTTTTATCCAAACTATATGGTATATAAAAAATAATTAAGATAATTTTAGGTGATACCTATAATTATGTAAATACTTTTTTCCAGAAATGCTATAGAGTCAACCATTGGCTCTATACCATTTCTCTACTTTTTCCTTGTACATGATCATCACAATAATAATCTTTAAAATATACATAACTAGTACTTTATCCGATGCACATGCATTGGTAAGTACAAAATATTATGAATTATTAAATTTTAAATTTATTTAATCCTAAATATATTAAATTAACCTTGCCAGTACATTGTGTTAGGACACGTAACTCAAAACTTAGTTCTCTATCAAGTCCAACATACAAACTCAAATGAGGTTCCATTCTAAAACCAATTAACAATAAAAGAAGTAGTCCACCAAGTTTATATATTGAACTTGGAACCTTTAATTTTCTGATATGAGATTGGATTTGCACATCCTACACATTGTACACATGTAAAAAAGTACTAGTAAAAATAATTAAGAGACTATTTTTGTCGTTACATATAAATAGTAAAAGATAATGATATAATACTTTTTTCATCACTAATTTTGAACAAAAGGCATTAACACAAGATATGCACATTTTATTATCACAGTCTCAATTTATATAAATATAAATATGTGATTTGTGCTTTGTGAAAGGAAACAACTTTCAAATACTTCCCATAAATAATTTTATTGACTGTTCATTACATTGCCAAGAAGAAATTCATAAAAAGTAAAAATGGGAAGACCAATGTCAAAAATAAAAAAAATAAAACTTGTGAGTTGTGCTTTGTGAAGGAAGCAACTTTCACATACCTCCCATAAAAATCATATAGATTATCAATATTATACAAATTTAAGCCGTCAGTAATCATGTCCTAAAAATAACCATCAACATTATATAAATTGCAAATTGATGTATTTCACTTAAAGCAGTAAATCATGAGTCAAGCCAAGCTTGAGTCGGAGTCATTAACAAACTGTGATAAGATAATAATTTTAAAAATTATATAAAAATTCCTATTTATCAAGTCTAAAAGGTCGAGCCGAGTTCGATTTAACTAAATGAGCCGAACACGAGCCTTAATGAGTTGAGTCGAGCTCATAAACAACTCGATTTATTTAACAATATTTGTAATTACTCACAAATATTCTCCCAACTGTGCCTTTTCATATAGTTAAATAGAATAATCAAAAGTACGTACAAAATTGACAAAGACAAAATATATTCCATTATGAAAAGCATTGTATAGAATATATAGCTGAAAATTAGAAATTAAGCTAAGCTTAATTGATGGCCTGTAATTGGTCAATATGATGAGTCCTCGTCTTGACCCGTTGACCCTTTGAACAGCAAAATCGCGAGGCTTCCCACGCAAAAATGGATAAAACAACCACAGCAATGGGTCACAAATGACCCGAAATCCGTACCCACAATGCATTGCCAACCCGACCCGTGGACCCTATCAAATTCCTACAATTACAGTCCACAATAAAATATTTAACGATATGCATAATTTCGGACACAAATGATATATGATTAAAAAAATAAAGTATTTTTTTCGGATATAAAAATATGATATTTAGCAATATAAATATAATTGTTTTTTTGTTTAAAAAAATGACGGATTGACGTGTCTCATACTAGAATTTTGTAGAGGTTTAATTGAACTCAAGTAGGTGAATAAAAGGTGCTGAAAATGTCTTTGTAAATCCATAAAAAATTTTAAACCATGCAAATAATTAGTGTCCATTTTTTATTTATATATTTTTTTTTTGTTGTATTTCTTATTGAGAAATTTTGAGACATTCAAGATGATCAATTGAGAACTAAATCCCAAGTTCTTTGAAAGATGATGTTGCTGAAAATAAAGAATGTGTATTCAGTTTGTGATTTAAAGTTTTTATTTTATATTTTTTTAATTTGAGATTTTTGTAATTTTGTACGATTTTACTGAAATCATAAAAAATCTAAAGTCCGTAGGAGAATTTTTGATATAATGCTGTATGCGTAATTTGTATTTTTAAAATATTAATATGTCTTAATAAATTTAAATTAATTGTTAATGATAAATAAAATGCATATCTCATAACTTTTTAAGAATTTTTTTTTTTTGTTTTTTTTAAATATCAAATGAATAATATAAATTTATATATTTTTTTTTAAATATCAAATGAATATCTTCAGACCTCTTAAAATCATAAAAGTCTAAGTTTAATACATCAAAACCCTTTAAATCTGCATAGAATAAAAATAAAAATGAATATAAACTACAAAATCTACAAAATTTAGCCTTAACTTCTGTATTTATGGTATTAAAATGTAACTTTTATGTACTCATCATGTATATCTACAACCAAAATGTGAAACATAATGTTAACTATTGAAATAAAAGATGGATATATCTACAGTAACACTCAAAAATTAAATAAAATAAAATAACAAAATACCTTCTTTATGAACCGGGCTATATCAGTTGAGTCAGTAACATCAAAGAAATCAAGAGCTTTGGCTGCCAAATTAAGTGCATCTTGCTGCATAGTTTGCAGCATATCAGTCTCACCCACAACTGCCTTGCCTTCTAACATTCTGTAGCTACTTTACAATTTAATTATTTTTAATAAAATAAAATAGAAGCAAACAAAAATTGCTTGTGAATTATATATGTATGAACGTTGGCGATCAATTGTGGGTAATATATAAATATAGGGGTGCATAGTGAGGTGGATTGTGTGGCCAATAGAATCAAGCCACCATTAAAGATTGGGACTAGATTTATGTGGTTGCCCATAATTCCAAATGGCTCCTAACCATTAGGATTTAGGCACGTTAACTTATCACATTTCATATTAAAGATGTATATATTTGTTGAAAATGTATGACTATCTCTCTGTTAAGTCTGCATAATATATATATTTTTTTTTTTACTGTAATCAGTACAGATAAGTTCCTTAAGCCAATACGGAAAACATCCACTTCCCATAAGCAAATTTTTCCATTAGATTAATTATTAATCTTACTGATTAACATTATTACGTTATATATATCACATCAACTTCAGTAATTAATTACATTATTTTTCATCTCATATTCATTTAGAAACTCAAATTTATTTCACTTTTTCTAATAATCTTTTTTCATCTTTTCATCTCATTTGTCCGGACTAGGCAAGAATTGGTCTTTGACCACGTTGCTTTTAAAATGACATGTAAAAATTACAATTATTTATTATGAATAAAGTGAGTGTATTGTAAGATTCATCCAAGTATCTAACCAATAGAGCGATCTTAGCATCATATTTTTGATACAATGTTCCTAAGCTGCTGTCTAATCCCATGAAAACTGATACGTAGTTTACACTTAACAATATCATTTTAATTGATGTTAAATCCACTGATGGAGAAGTTTTTTTTTTTNTCATGGATAAGCTTGGCTAAGAATGTAGAGAACCGAAAGAAGATTCATGAGACACGTCTATTTTCTTGTGGCTAACATGTCATTGTTATTTATTTATTTATTTATTTGATTTTAGGCAATATGAATAGTAGAATTGGAAAAGAGCCAAATTGAGTCGAGCATTAGTCATATCTAGCCGAACTCAATTTTATTCTTGTTGTATGAGCTCGAGCTCGATTTGCGTGTTGGCTCGAATCGTAAAAATTGTACAAATACTCAAGATCGTTTGAAAATTGATCCAATTTCATACACATCCAATTTCAATAACTCGAGCTCGAGCGCTCACACGAGCCACTCGATTTGTTCGCAGCCAAAAATATGACACAATGACCATAAATATGACACATTGACACAGTGAATCCAACACCTTTGATAAATAGCATCTGGCCGGTTTTTTCATCAAGGTCGACAGGTTGTAATGGAGAGAATTGAAAATTGCATAAAGAAAATTTATACAAACACAATAACTCAAAATAAATAGAACATCACTTGATTTTGCTATTTTATTATTACAACTTTATACCAATTTTCACATAAATCAAATTCTAAACTCCAGTGTTCACTGCTCATTCCTGCCTGTATTGATAATATATTGACACTGGAGAGAAGATCTTTGTTATTACTTTCCACAAATGAAATTAAAAAAATAAATAAATAAATAAAGATCTTGCAGCATTGGCAAAATATTTACAAGCAAATGGCTAATGTGCACTAATTCTCACACAGAATGAACACTCAGCCATTATTCTTCTCTACATACAAATGCGTCGGAAATTATTCACTCGACATTTAATTATACAGAGCTCTCGGTACTTACGAATCTATGATTCACCCTGAATTTACTGCCTGAACCTGCTGCCGAGCAAGATACTTTTCCCGCCGTTCTTTCTGGATAACAGAGGAGAAAGATTTGTTCTCAGAGGTAAATTGTAAAATAGATCAATGTGAAGATTGATTATGAATAACTTAAATCATATCTATGAAAATTGCAAATCGGGACATCGACATTGGTGAGTTTGTTAAGCAAAAACACGGTTTTGGACTGATTTTATGTTTACCACTCGCAGGCATTTACATCTCGGTAATTCCTCTTATATTTGTAAACAGAGTTGAGGTTATCTGTGTTTCTATTCTAATAATTACATCAAACC